AGGTCTTAATCTTGACATAAGAATGTACTGTTCACACATTACTGTGACACACGCCCCAGGCACCAACTGCACAATAGTGAATTTGATATGCTTGAGACCTAACAGATGGCAGTGTCATTGTGGATGAAAACAATACATGCGTCTATTTTGTTGTTCATTTGAGGAAGAAGAACATTCCGTTCTAGCAAGTGGAATCTTTATACTCAGGACTGATATTTGCAAAAGCGCAATTACAAATTTTTGAACAATGAAATGTGAATCTTCACAAAGCTACACATTTTTAATAATGTACACTATAATCTGCAAACAACTGGATTAAAGCACATTTAGTTTTCTTATCTAGCAAGTTATTTTCCAAGTTTTCAGTTTACTTGAACACAGAAACTGAATGCATTTTTCGGTCAAGTGATGAGTTTGAGAACATTGATCTGATATTTTTTTTATATACCTTTATTTTAGGCAAGTTAATTAAGAACAGTTTCTTATAACGGCCTGGCAGGAGACATAGGCCTCTTGTGGGAAAGGGTACCAGGATTAAATAAAATAACATAAACAATAGACAGAGAACGCAGGACAACAACACAGTCCAGACAACAACCAGACACAAAGACACAAAGAGACCAGAAGAGAAAATAATTAAAAGAAAGGTAAAGAAACTTGATAACAGACTAGACATAAGATAATCTACAGAGAGTAGACGATACATCAAATGGCAGTAGTTGAACAGTTGTTTGTTATCTGCACACAAATGTTGTAACATTTCTATTGTATAACTGCACTATATTCTGTAAGATGTAACTTCTAACCACTCTTATGCTGCTTTATCCATGAAATACACCCTGGTATGACCAAATGATGTATAAATAACACGCCAACGTCTTAAGTTATTTCACGTGTTATTGTTCCAATGACGACAAAGGTCCCCTGAGCTTTTCCTTTCCTGCATGTCAAAAACACTTTAAATGCAGCATCTGTAAAACAAATTCTGTCTGATCTGTTAAAGTGCGCACATGCGAATGTCCAGCATGCTATTTATTTGCCATCACATGATATCAGATTAAAAAATATGAATCTGCAGAACCTACATTTTAAAACTGAGACTGTTCCTACTACTACTACTTTCATCTTTTACCTGGTTAAATGAAGTAATATGAAATAATGTAATATCTCAATAACTTTTGGATGGATAGCAATAAAAAATTGTTACACATTAAAATAAGATGGTGAATATGGTAAAAATTTATGGTAAACCTGTTAAACATTAGCATGTTTGCACTGTCTCACATAGCCATCACAGAGTTTTTCCTTTCTTTTGCAAAACTTGTCAAAATGTTGTATCCAAGCAGGAACCTCCGGGTCTGAAAAGTGAGTCTGTCAATCACGTCCGGTTCCTGGTCAATAGCCTAACAGCCAAACTCCAGGCTTCAAAACGGCGGTCCAGAAACAAGTGGATGACGTCACAATGACTACGTCCACTTGTTTTATACAGTCTATGGTTGTAACCTACTTTGAAAATGTTTAAGAAAATGAGAGTAACTAAATACAGTGACTCAGGTGCTGACTTGGGTATTTCCATTTTATTCTACTTTCCACTGTGTAATGTACGAAAAGAGTTTTTACAGGAAAACAAAACATGAACTTGTATTCCAATATGAAACCTACGAAGAAGTATGATCTGAATCTGCAGCTCCCCTTGGCTATGTGGGGCTTTAGATTGAGTTTCATCTCACATCTCTAGCTGTCAGTCCTTTAAATTTACTGTTTTGGCACACTCAGCTTTCTTTACACTGAAGTTCTTTATTGTCATATGCTCCACAATACAGTGAGGCAGTTACTGGAATAGAATGAAATTCTTGACTGATTGAATTCAATCCTCAAACAATATGTAGTGAGTATGTAAAGAGTAAAAGAGAATCTAAGAAATGAAATAGGGCATACGTTAAATATATTCATTATGAAATATGATGTATCGATGAAAATATAATATAATGCTGTGATAGGCAGGTGTACAGTAATGAAACAATGAATAAACTGTGATACCAGGTTGCGTTTTTTTAGTCTTCCGACAACTCAAAGCGTTTAGCAGAGAGTTGGTAGAGACCTGCAATATTGATGCTTTTACTAAGTAAATGATCAGACTACTAATAGAGCAAGAAGACAGTAGATTCTGATACAATGAGTTTTTGATACAAAGAGATGATCAAAAGTTATTTGGTGTTCCTCTTTCTGTACTACGTGGGCTATTTTTTTTATTTATTTTGTTATTGCAGTGACTCAGAGCTGGCAGAACAAGCACAACACTGAAACAATAAGTGTACAGTCCAAGTATGCCAGATTTATTCCATAAACAAGCGAGGGTCAAAACCAGGAAGTCTGTAAGAGAAAACACCAACTAACATTACCAGCGAGGATCAGGCAAAGAATCAGGGTCCGGGAAATCAGGCGCTAGCAATTAGTTGGCTGGGAGTAATTGCTGGAAAGCTTAGTGAATGTATAATCGAATGTACAATCTGGCAAATAATGTTCACTGCTTATTAATTCCTTTGTTAAATGGCCTGATTTGATTACTCCACCAAAACAAATCAACATACATAATATCTTGATACATACTAAACACAAGTTCTGGCTTTGCAATCAACTGGGAGAAGAGCTCCCCCTTCACAGGAGTCAGGTGCCATTGGGCTGTCCATCCAGGCAGCGAGGGCAGGCGCCACCACTTCCTGCTACAAAGCTAAGCGGCTGGGCTTTCAGCACTGGTGCATTGAGAAGGAAATGGATCCCATAACCTGCCCAGTGGGATCCATCCTTTCCTTCTTACAGGGCCTAATGGAGAAGGGACTGTCTGTGCGCCCTATTGGTTCATCCCAGCTGCATGCTGCTTCGTGGTGACCACAGTGCAGCAGTGTTAAGACTGAACCCTTCCTTTGTTCCTAAGAACATAAGAAGCTCGTTCAGGTCGAGGACCATACATTTGGATGCCTTCCACCCTCCGCCCCACCCTGGGCCTAGGGAGGCGAGGTTGCATCTGTTGTGTCCTTTGCGCGCCTTAGCACATTATATGAAGCGGACAGCCCCCATTCGACGCACTGATCAACTGCTTGTTTACTTTGGTGACAGTGCGATCGGTAAAGCTCTATCCAAGAAGCGCCTAGCCAGATGGCTTTGTGACTGTATCTCACAGGCCTACGTGCAGGCGGGGAAAGACCCACCCTCTGTGGTCCGGGCTCACTCCACACGGGGTGTGTCTACGGCCCTCTTCAACGGGGTGAGCGTCGAGGAGATTTGCACAACGGCATCGTGGTCTTCACCATGTCCATTTGTGTGTTTTTACCTCTTGCATGTGTCGGGCTCCTTCTCAGGATCTGTGCTCGCAGGTGCGACTCAGGATCTGTGAAGAAGGAACCTGGTGTCTACCATAGACTACCAGTTGTCGGGGAAAACATTTTTACACTGACTGTGATGTCCCTGTAAGGGGTCAGGACAGTTCAGGTGTTGGATCTGGCTGGATCAGATCCCTCTTGGTCATGCCAAACCCCTAGCGGTCTAGTGACCTTTCTGAGGGGTGGCCCACTGCCCCATCGCTTAGGATGAAGGCAGCTTAGGGCCTGTGGCTGGTGACCTGTGGCCGATTGTGTCGGTGAGGTGAGCTGTGGCTTTTCGCGGTTGGGCGGACAGTCACCGGGCTCCACCCACTGTACCAATTTGTCGGCTGTTTACAGTATGCAAAATTTCAGTGGGCGAGTACGTGCGAGTGATAGGAGGAGAGGTAGTACCCATAGAGTCCAGTAGAGGGCTCCGCCTGTGCCAATAGAACTAGGGTTACCATATCGTAAACTTCGTTTTGCCCTAAATCATGTGTTAGATCTTGTTTATCTTGATATCAATGATCTTAAGTTGCACACTGGAGAACTAGTTTTTGTCCTCTGGCCGCTGACTTTTGCAGATTAAAACATTTCAAAACATGTGTGGTTTGGGAGAAGTGGATGTATGTTGCATTTTCTTTTGTACTATGATCATTTTAAAAATAATTTTCCATTAATTTTCTCAAAAGAGAAAATGTGCATGTTTTCAATGTCTCAGGTGGTCAGGTGGTTGAATTTTTACACACACACATTTATTATCCTTTACCATTATTGTATTAAATGATCACATGTTCTGGCTGCTGATTCATTCACATGTTCTGGCTGCTGAGTGGAAATAATTACTTGGTATCTTACAAAATGAGGAACAAACCTCAGCAGCTTCTCTTTCAAGCATGTTGCTCAGACGAGCTTGACAAGGGGGAGGTTCTGTTAAACAAAGACCGCAGACACGCCTCTCCATTAAACGCTTGTTCTTGATCTGAGGTGAATTTTTTTCTTCATCTGAAAAAAAAGGTTGAACAAAACAGGTTTGTTGCTTAAGAAGGTTGCCTCATTATGTAATGATTAACACTGAAACAATCAGAGTATAGTCAAAGTATGCAAGATTAATTCTATAAACAAGCAAGGGACAAACCCAGAAGAGCTGAAATAAACAAGACAGTGGGGATCAGGCAAAGAATCAGAGTCCAGGAAATAGGGCCGAGGGTAAGCAGGAGGTTTCCCCTACCACTGCTTCAGGAGGGCGGCCCGGGAGGGGACAATTTATAGGGGACAATTCACATTACGTGTATTTCAACAATGCATTCATTTTGAATTGTGCGGCTAGGAACCCGCACAATGATTACTTTGGCAAAATTATGGATTTTAGCATGCATGTCTTTGATGGTGGGTGGAAATCGGAGCACCGGAGAATTTTGTTGATAATTTTTTTTTTGTAATGTGTTATTAATATCTCAGGTGGTTTTCTACATTGAATAATGATCACTTATCACACTTTCTAGCTACTGATTCTGCATGTGACTGGAAAGAATTACAAACACACCTCTGCAGTTCTTTCAAAAATTATGTTCTAGAGAAGCTTGGCAGTGTAACCACTGGGAAAGTTTTGTTTAACACAGACTGCAGTAAAAGCCAGAAGGACCAGATTTACCAGGTAGATCCCTGAACAGAGTGACTAATCCCACAGCCAATAAGGTGTGACGTTGAGGAGTATTTAAACTGAATGCACTCTACAATCTGCATATGTGCTGTATCCGTTAGGACAAGCAGGACACTCGACATGACAACACAAACAGGTAAGAGGGTTTTGATATTAGATGACTGCAAAATTAAAATACACTGATAAATGTATTGACTATTTGATGCATAATTATAACATTAAAGGAATTATTTAGCTTCTACTTCCATTTCACTATTTTCAATAATTCAGTAGTTACTTCAAATTAAATGTCCTTTGTCAGTTTTTCTAACTTCTGTCTTTGTAAGATGTTGGTCCCACATTTTGATCTGTAGTTTTAAAACTTATTGTGACCACTAACTAGTCCCACAAATCCACTAACAGTGCTATAGAGCTGGCAATCGGCAGCTGTGTTTGGTCAATTAATTGCAAATTCTGATGCTATAACAAGTAATAGTGAGTTCTGTCACTCTGTGTTCCATGTTTAAGTAATATAATGGGGTTTATTTCCAGCCCGAAACACAGCCTCGGTGCCATCTGATGTGCAGTTCAGGTGCTGCATCTGTCTGGACACTTACAACAATCCTGTCTCCATCCCATGTGGACACAACTTTTGCCTGGACTGCATCGAAGGCTTCTGGGATACGAAGGACATTTCGGAGTGTCCGCTGTGCAAAGAGACATTCAGAAAACGTCCAGAACTTAGGATCAATCATGGGTTTGCTGAAATCATTGAAATCTTTAAAAGGTTTGTTTTGAAACTTTTTTTCTTATTGCAAAGCATAACATAGCTGAATATTTGAATTGAATTGAGATTTAACACAATTTAATTCAAACCAAAGGTCAATGATGTCCACAAAAACACAACAAGAGGATGTCGACTTTGTCCAATATTCCCCAGACCAACTTGTCGAAGCTGAGGAAGTTCCCTGTAACATTTGCCACGGAGACAAGTCAACATCGGTCAAGTCGTGCCTCGTGTGCCAGGTGTCTTACTGTGAGCTTCACCTCACACCACACCTGAGGGAACCAGCCCTGCAGAGACATCGGCTGACGGATCCGGCCATCTTCCCCACCAGTCACCTCTGCAGGAAACACAACAAGCGACTGACGATGTTCTGCAAGAAAGACCAGACACCTGTGTGTGTCAGATGCACAGAGAGCCACCATAAACACCATGAGACTGTCCCCATGGAGAAGGAGAGCGAGAGCATCAAGGTGAGGAATATATGAATATATATATAAATATAAATACAGAAAAGCAGTCCTTTCTGGCTGCTTTTCTGTATTTTGTATTTTTAAGTGACATGTTTTCCTTTGAAGCCATTTTCAGCACATTATATTCAACATGTGAATTTTATTATATTATATATTATTATATTTTTGCAGTTACATTTGAATGATACAAAGGACAACATTCAACAGATGATCCACAACAGACTAAGAAAAATGGACCAGATTAAAAATTCAGTTCATCTCAGCAGAGTGAGTTTGGAGTTATCATAAGGATGCATGTTCAAAATGAGTTTACTTCTACGGTTTGTCTGTTTTCTATGAGTAAATTAACATGGTCTGTTGTTTCAATCAACAGAAAATCACAGAGAGAGAGATTCAGAGCAGCGCTGAGGTCTGCAATCTGCTTATGACAACCATTAAGATACAACAGGCTGAGCTGGTCAAAGAGCTCCAGGAGAGGCAGAAAGAAGCTGAGAGGAGAGCCGTGGAGCTGCTCGACGAGCTGGAGCAGGAAATCATCAAACTGCAGACGAGAAGCAGCGAGCTCCAGCACCTGGAGCTCATTCAGCACCCTCTTCACCTCCTACAGGTTAGATACCTGAACTGCATTTCAACTTTTCTGTGATGCATCAACATTTAAAGAACTGTACTTATTAGGAACCCCATGTGTTTTCCACATTTTAGAGTTTCTCATCTCTAAGTAAACTCCCAACTAATAAAGAGTGGTCTGAGGTGGCAGTCCACTCAGATAACTGCTTGGGGGCAGTAAGGAGAGCCGTCTCTACGCTGGTGGTCGTCTGCCAGGAACTTGGGAACAAACTATCTGCAGAGGGTCAGTAGTCTTTTTATCTACTTCAAAAAATGACCAGAGATTCAAGAGATTATTGTGAAAATCAGTGCATGAAAATAACATTTTTCTTCCCCTCTTTTGCAGAAGCAGGCAGAATGGATCAATATGCATGTATGTTCACAATCCTACATCTATTGCCTAATTCAATAACCTAGTTTAACCTTTACTAGTTTTACTTTTTAGCTATGGTCTCACTGTTTTTCTTTGTTTCTGCAGTTGATGTCACTCTGGATCCTGAGACTGCTTCAGGCTGGTTGGTCCTGTCTCCAGACAGAAAGAAGGTATTGTCTTGTTGTCTGATCATTTACTTAAATGTGTGAAGAGCACAGTCTTCTTTGGGAATTTTTTTCAGGATAGTTTGGGTGTCTCACATTTAAATCTGTAAGGACAGAACAAGTAAAGTTTTTGTAGCATCTGTCACAACAGGTTGCTCCACATAGTGACATTTTCTTACATGAAAACTGTAAAAGGTTAAAAAGAATGTGAGAATTAGCTGCAAAGGGGTCAACATCAGGCTAAAATGCTTTGACTGTAAAAGATTATAAGGCTATTAATTGGTAGGGGTGACAACGTCAATGTTGCTAATGAGACTGATGCTTAATATAACCATGATTTTATTGATCCACAGGTGAGCGTCAGCAGACAGAGAGCCTCACTCTCAGACAATCCTCAGCGATTTGACACCTGCGTCTGCGTTTTGGGGAAACAAAGCTTCACATCTGGAAGACGCTACTGGGTGGTTCAGGTAGGAGCTCAGAAACAAGAAAATACACTTTAGCAGCATGGCCTACTTAAATTAGGCTCCTACCTACCACAAAAGCCAGTGCCACTAGAAACGTACGCTACCAGCTTTTGACTGGTTTCACACAATTAGACTTAAGTATCATTTTTATTTTTAAATCATGTGACATACTGCAGCTAAATATGGTGTCACATTTGGGTAAAAAATCTGCCATTTTGAATCTCTTTCAGTTGAAGTAACATCTTATTTAAAGGTAAAGCCTAATAATAACAAGATTATACACTCATTTATTTTTATTGATTAAGGTCGCATGTGCTGTATGTCTGAGCTGGTTGTGTTTGTGTGTCTGACTCGGTATGCGTTGTGTTTCAGGTTGGAGATAAAACCGACTGGGATCTTGGCGTGGCAAGAAAGTCCATCAACAGGAAGGGAACCATCACTGTTCGTCCCGACAGCGGTTACTGGGCGATCTGCCGGCGAAAAGGTGGCAGTCTCAGTGCCTGCACCCGGCCCTCCGTCACACTCCAACCCCAGGAAACCCCGCAGAAAGTGGGTATCTTCGTGGACTACGAGGAAGGGTTGGTGTCTTTCTATGACGCGGATGCAAAGACTCTTATTTACACTTACAGCGATTGTCATTTCTCTGAGCCTCTCTACCCATACTTCAACCCCTGTGTGCAAGATAATGGGAAGAACACCACCCCGCTGATAATCTGTTCTCTTGAGAGAAGGATCGGGGAAGGACAGGTCATGACTGTTGAGTCAGATGTGTGATGTGTCATTAGAAAGCATGATGTTAACTAATGTTGAAAACAGATATTTTAGGGGTTTTTTTAGAAGAAGAACATTTATGAACCTATTTTGGTTTGCACACATTTATTATACTGTAGCAGTATCTGACATTGGACTGCAACAGGCTGAAATTCACAAGTTTATTTCTGTTTATAAAAACTCAGCAATACTAAAAGGAATACATGATGTTTATTCTGTGGGAATAGTTTTCTTAAAAACTGTTTTTTACTGTTTAATATTCATGATGGATCATAATGAATCTTCACAAAATACACCTGTCCTATTTCTGTGTATTTAAAGATATATAAGATGCTTGTGGAAGCACTGCAAAACTTTATTTCAAAGCCTTTATAGGCATAATATGATGCAAGTTGTGAAACTGAAAATTAAAATTTTTAAATATAGAAACTGCGAAATTGTCTCATTCTATCTTCTCGAACTGTCACATTTAGTTCAAGAGTAGACACAGGAGTCCATATATCCAAATGAAGTCCAGTAAATAAAAGGGGTAAAAACACAGGAAAGCACTGGAAAAAGGCAAGCACACTTGACAACATGACAAAGAATGGCAGCAAACAAGGGGAAACACACCTAAACTAAAACATAAATGGGGGTGCACACAGGTGAAATGTTGGGCAAGCTACTTGGAAAATGCAGTGAGCTTAGCTAACACTTAACTCTTCATTAAATGAAGCTACATTAAAGGGGTGAGGATGGTTCAGTGGCTAAGACACATGCATTTGGTGTGAGAGACCTAGGTTCAATTCCCCACTGTGACACATCCACAAATATGTCCCTGAGAAAAACACTTAACCCCTCGTTGCTCCAGAAGTGTGTGACCTTTGACATGTGAAGCAAGTGTAAGTTCCTTTGGATAAAAGCATCAGCTAAATAAATAAATGCAACGTAAATGTTCATTACATTGAAGCTACCCCTCAGGTTGGTGTAACAAGCTAACCCACAGGAATATGGTAAAAATAGATTTTATTATTATTTTTTATGTTGTACCAACTTCATTCCAAAACAGTGCTATCTCAGTGTTCAATAAAGCCGTCAGTCAAACAGATAGACAGGCAAAATTGTTCAGTCCAATTTTTCATTAAACAATATGCTGTTCTCACTGTTCAAAAAACAATTTAGCAACTTAGCGAACACACAAATAAAAAAACATGTGCTCCACCTTATGACAAAACCAGGGCCCTGTTTCAGAAAGCAGGTTCAACAAACTGAGTGTAAACCTGAACTCTGGGTTGACGAAGTCTGAGCTGTCAAACCATTTCAGAAAGGCCGATCAGAATAAGTTCAGTCAACCCTGAGTATGTTGATCCTGAGTGAAGCGCGTGCATGGGGATGAAAAAAAGCCATCATCAATGGAGCTCCAATACTACAATTCACCATGGCAACGGGTAAATAAAGGCAGATCCTCCATTTTAATTGGGTGGAGCTATAAATATGAATGCGTGCCAACGTGGACATTAACATTATTACTTTTATACAGCGTTGCTCATTCATTATTTACAATTCTCCTACAGCCTGTTATTCATTTTAAATAGCTACAGTCCTGTTTATTCAGCTGTAACCTGACAGGACTAACTGGCAATAACTGAAGATGAAAATATTAATCGAACAGATTAGAAACAATTTAGGCTGCTCATAGACATGTGATTGTAAAGTGACAGTCTGACTCAGTAGGCCTATGCCTATTAATGATTTTTTTTGTAATGTAAAATGTGTCTAGGTTCAAACTGACTGTGAAGTTTTAGACGTCTTTGTTACATTAATAAAATCTTGCTCATTTTGTATTTTATGAAATGCTGTCAAAACACATTCAGACTATCGGCAGATAATGAAAAACTAAAGGGGGGGCAGTTTAGGGTTTACTGCCCTCCTTCCAAAAAGGAGTTCTGATAGGCTGTTCAGGGGAAAGTTAATTCCTGGTTAGTGTTAGCATTTGTCATTTTAACAGTCAGGCACAGAGTCTTATCTCAGCTGCACCAAAGGTGGCAAGTTTTACGATCGAACTGCCCAAAAGCATTTAGGGAAAGCAAACCTTTCACCCCTACTTTGGGGTCACTTCAGCTGTCTGCTGAGGGTTGATATCTCAACCCCCCTCCTTTTCTTTCTCTCAGGTAGAGAGAAAGAATTTGGGATCTCCAAATTTATTTGATATAAAATGAACAAATCCACACTGGCTGATCCACTACATATGTATAAAACACACTGAAAAAAAAAGTCTGTTGAACTTACATAAAAATAATATATATAGATTCTGCATAAATTCTACATACTAAAAGTATTTCTGTACGCTTATTTCTCTTCAATCTTACCTACAGTTTTACTCCTGTAACATTTTCAGAACAAATAAGGCACACACAAACATTTCTTTTGAAATTGTATTGTCATTATTGGTTCAATGCAATGTATACACAAATAAAGGGATACATATACAAACCATTCTCACATTAAAACAAAGCACCTTTTTCCTTACATAGACACTTGGTAGCCAAGTTATCGAGTGCATTGTAAACATTCTGCTAGCAACAGCCAGATTAATGCAGAAATGTCTTGCAAAATTGTGCAAAAAAATCAATATGTGGCAGTCAGCATTGATATTGTGGAGGGCCGCCACAAATAAATGAACGTATGGGAAACAATGGATGGATGGATGTCAAATAAAATAAAAACTTTTGTATATTACTCACCATTTACTACATGGCCTAAGGTACGAAGCAGAGATCTCAACTGGAGAAACAACAAATACCTATCCAGAAAAGGATGTATACATATTATTTCTACTAGCTGGTGAAGCATCCTGTTTGTGACACAGCGTATCCAAGTTTAAAATTAAAATTATAAAGGTATTTGAATAATACTCAGCATTCATCCTTTTCCATCACAATATTTAACAAAAATAAAACATTTTAAGTCAATAAACTTGATTTGAGATTAATTTTCTTGCCAATTTTAATCTCAGGCAGCACATCCAAGCTTTAATTAATTCCAACAGAAAATGTAAATTATTAAACATTAAGGATAAAGTAAGAATCGCTCTAATCAGAGTAATGCACGTCCTCTACATGGAGTTACTGGAGATAAAGAGGATGTTGGAGGGATATCTATGTATTGTAAATAAGTGCTGATGTTATGAGCAGTTTACCTTTCACCAAGCTAAATTTAGAAAACACAGAACATTAACTTTACCAACTTTATCAAGTGCTGCTTTCTAATTAATACAGAACATGTGCACTGTCATAAAAAAACTGCAGTTACACTTTAGCCTGGACTAACCTTATTAATAATAAGTTGTGAAGAATGTGGTCGAAGAAGACTACTGTACATGCCATTGGCAAGAAGGCCAGGCCACTTTCTGACTTCGAGTGGATGTGCGAGTAAGTGAAACTGTTTTTCCTCCTGTAATGTTTGCTAGACTAACATTTTATATGAAGCTATGGTAGGGTGACCATCAGTCCTGTTTTCCCAGGACATGTCCTGTTTTCACGTCCTGTCCTGGCCGCCCTGGCTGTTTTTTTTTATTTTTATAAATGAATACATTTTCAAAAAACTGCTGGGAAAGATCAGCTCTACAGCAAAATATATGGGCAAAAATGGAGGATGAGGAAGAAAAACAGGATAAAGAGGAAGAAAACTAAAGATATAAATATATTTTGTTAGTTTGTTTTTGTAAGTTTGTGAGAGCTATTTTTGTTCAATTTGGAGGTATTTCTTTTAGTTATTTATTATTTATATATTTATTTTTCTCACAGAAGAGACATTATTTCTATCATCATTTCATTCATTATTTTTAAAACCTGTCATAATAAAACATGTTGAGTAACCTCTGAGAAGCCTATCTGAATCTGTGTTTGTTGGAATTAATGCAGTGGAGAAGGCAGATGCCGCACATATAAGTAAAGCCATCAGTGACATCATGGAGGGAGTGTGTGATGAGTGGGAGAGCAAGTTGGCCGCTCTGGGAACTGATGGAGCTGCTGTTATGACTGGAGCCAAGAGTGGTGTGGTCAGCCGGCTGAAGGGGGACAGGGCCTACATCATCGGTATCCACTGTATGGCACACCGCCTTGAACTGGCCTTTTCTGATGCCATCCGTTCCAACGTGATGTTTCAGAAAATAGCACATTCTACCACACCAGTTCGCTGAACAGGGCAAACCTCGTAAACAGCTTCCAGGCTCTTGGGCACACACCACTGGTGCCCACCAGAATTGGTGGGACTCGATGGGTAGGACACCTATTGCGTGCCCTTGATCACTTTCTGCGAGGTTACCAGGGGCTTGTCCAGCACCTGGAACAGGTATTGGTCTAGATTTCTACAGTATATTATGTACTCCAAACATCATCATCAATATGTAATGTGAATTGTCAAGTAAATAACTAGAAGTAATATAACAATTAGTCAATGAAACACTAATAAAACATGTCATTATTCTTTTTTAACAGCAAGTAATTGTCTATTTGTATGTCTTTGTTCTTTATGCATTTTAGATTCAATCTGCTGATGCCCAAAATGTCAGAGTTGTCCAGCAAGCCAAGGCCAGGAAATACTACAGTACTGTGAGGGAGGCTGTTGTTGTCCGCTTCTGTGGCTTCCTGCATGACACACTAACCCACCTGAGCAACCTGTCTGCCTGTCTGCAGAGGTCCACAATCACCATAGCAGAAGCCCACAGCTCATTGTGCTCAACACAGGCCGTACTTAAGAAGTACAAAACCAAGTATGTGAATTAAAGCTGCAATAAGAAATACTTAAAGAGAATTAAGAGAAATCATTACATCAATAAGAGAGGGAGAATGTGAAAGAGTTTCTTTTATCATCAGAAAAGGGCCCATGATGAATGCCACAATGGGCAACAGCTATGAGGGAATTTCACTGACCAGAGGTGACATAAAGACCCACGTCGTCTCACAGGACTTGACAGTTTAGTGGAGAGTATGACTGACAGGTTCCAGGATGCCAGTGTAGGGGTCCTGTGTGCAACCAAGCTGGTCAGCTTCACCAACTGGCCAGAGTCAGGAGATGCAGTAGCAGGTTACTTTATGTTTTGTATTACAGGGCAGTCAGGTTAGGTTTAGGTTCATGATCATATTCTTATAGTTTGAGAAGTAAAACTGCATGATGCTTGTTGTAATGTTGTATAACATTATTCTAGATTTTGGTGACTCTGAACTGGAAACCTTGGTGGACCACTTCAAGCCTGTCCTTGAGGCCTCTGGCATTCATGTTGAAAGAATCCCTGACCAGTGGACAGTCCTGAAGGTGCTGATATACCAAGAGCCTCAGTCCCTGGAGAAGATATCTTGGTTCCATGTCATCCATCAGCATTCCTGCCCTGATTTGCTGGCATTGGTTGACCTTGTCCTGTCCTTCCCTGCCTCCACAGCGGAATGTGAAAG